AAGGTAACAGAGACTGGTGGAATCTACAAACTAAGATATATATAGAAATAGGTGCTGCTATTTTTATTGTGTTTTTCTTGTACTTTTAGAAGGGTAGAAGTGCAGCAAAACCACAACAAGGTGAAAGGGCCCTCAAAAATACTGAGAATTACTTTAACATCTTAAAGAATTTATGGAATTTTAGTAATTGGGTTTAAATCTATTTTATAGCACAAAATTACTTGTGTAGCAATCACGTGTGCTATATAAATGTTTTAATTCCTTTAACTGTGAAAAGAACTGATAAGCTGTTCTAGGCTGCCATCAAACTCATTTGCTTGTTGAATTGCCTTACTTGTAAAGCCCCGTAGGTGCTACCCAACCCATAATCTTCAGCTCTTGTCTTGCACCAATGATGAGCCCTATTATATCCAAGAGTCCTCATCCAGCAGTTTGATGCAAGTGCACTGTTAATTATTTTCATCTATATTTTGAATACAACAGAAAAAAAAAAAAACAGCTCTTTTGTCCTGAGTTATTGTCTACCTTTGGGCAAAAAAACCCCACATGGGAATAAATTCTTACATTTCTTTCTTGGATGGGGCCAGGTTGGTTCAAAATGAAAAGTATGTCATTTTTCTTTTTTTTTTTCTAGTGGAAAACATGCACAATTCTCAGCTTTGCTAGAGCTTTTTTAAGCTGCTGTTCAATAGTTTTCGGATATTCCGACAATATTGAAACATTCCCAAATGAACTTTGTGGAAAGACATTTTCATTTGCCGACTCCCTCCTCATGCATATTAACAAATGGTATGCAAGGCTTCATTTAATTCACTGATTTTACATTCGTATCACTTTCTCCTTTTACAGCTATTTTTACTGGGCTTCATTAATCTTTGTTGAATACAATGGCATACATCTTTAATGCGGCCGCTGTCAAGTTACATTTCGGTTAGGGCTGCAAACTGAATGACAGCAAGCAATATTAATAAATTTAACATAGACTGTATCAATTTTTAACAGAACGAATGTGAAAACTTAAATTTATTATTTTTCATTTAAATCAATGGGTTTATCTCTAGTTAAATGGAGAAGATTTTTTTTTTTCTTAAAACTGGTGACGTTCCGTACAAATAGATTTACATCTCATTAATAAGTAAATTAGGAAAATGCCTTTCAAGTTCAGACAAGTACATAAGTGTAATCTCCATATTAAAGGCACAGTCTTTGATAAACCACCAAGGAATTCTAGCAGCCAGCTATGTGACATGTTGCCAGAGAATGAACCCTCTCACATCCCCACCTTTAATTACAGTGGCTTATTGCTAAAGAGATAAGCGTCTGGCTGGTTAAAACTGTATAAAAGCACAACATGTGGGAACAACCCATATAATATACGGTAACATAATATATATATATATATATATATATATATATATATATATATATATATATTGTATATATACATTGTTGTGCATGACACCTAGGACAAGCTTGTGGACCTCCTTATTAATTAACCATTCTTGTCATAATCACTACTTCTTCAACCTGCTTAGCCTTGTGTCCATGGACTGGGCAACTTATTGATTTTAGTTTGTAAAAGGATTGATTCAGACCTGCAAGTTGATAGCAATAATGAAGACTATGGGAAGGTTTAGTCTCTTGTTAATCCCTATGAGACACAATTGTAAAATATATAGTGCTGGATTTGGTTGCTTCCAAAAATGGCCAATCTATGGCCAGCCTAAGCTTTTCCCAACTATGGTTCGTGAGCCATAAGAGTTCCCAAAAATACTGTATAGTACTAGTCAACAAATTCTATGAATTTAAACACACATGTCAACCAAACCAATAAATTATCCTAATTGTTTTAACATATCAATGCAATAAAAAAAAACGTTTGTAATCTGCAGGTTTTATTAGGTAGTACTGGGTTAATCTGCCATGAAGGCCTCTATTCAAGCACTACCTGTTATGAGGTGGCATCCTCTGTCACTGTCTTCCAATTGTTCTTCTGTGTTGTCACTTTTTCACACAGGCTTTCGATGGAAACTACAAGTGGCCATTTTTCATATGCATTATCCAAGCATGGCTCACTGTTGTCACCATGAGGAAACCATCTCCAAGATTTGCTATGCAGCCTTTGCTGGAGTCAGTGGCAGAGCTACCAAGGTCGCAAAGGTCGCACTTGCGACCGGACATTGGTGTTCTATTAGCGTGAGGGGGTCCAGGGCAGGCGCCAGCATAAGGCACTCTGTGCTGAATCCCAGAGTTCACTGCTGGAACAAGGAGATGGCTCCATGGAGGAGGGACATTACACTGCAATAGCCGCGCTGATGATCTGAGGTCTGTGTTTATTGATGTATACAAAGGAAGGAGACACAGTAACAGGGAATGAGGGGAGGGCAGGTAATAAGGATATACACCTGGAGGAATGATGGGAAGCAAGAGGATATGTGTTGGAGGATGCTTTGGGAGGGGAAAGATTTGAAATCCCCCACAGCACCTTCTAGCAGTCTTCTCAAAGCCTCCCAAAGCTACTCCCAGCACATATCCTCCTACCACCCCCTTCTCCCCCAAGTCAAAGAGAAGTCAAAGAGGTGTTTGGGACCCCTGGCACTCATAAGAGATGCGGGGCAATGGATACGGGCCCAGATTCATGAGACACCAAGATTTTCAAATTCAAATCTTGGGAAGGTCCCACCAAAACCGGTAAAGTTAGCAGCAGGAGCGTACATACAAGGGTAACAATTGTGACCTGACCCCATGCTCCAGGGCTCCCATGTGGAGGTCAGTTTAGATCCCTGATATTTCACCAAAGCCTCCTAACAGGGCCCCAAAAAATTGTAAAAATAATAACAAATAAACAAACATAGAACACGACTGACACCAGTGGCAGAATTACCAGAGTCACAAAGGTCACACTCGCAACCAGGCTCTGGCATTCTGCCACCGTGGGGGGGCCTTGTCTGGGGGTCAGGGGGCCCTTTATGGTTTCTTGCACCGGGGCCCTGAAGGTTCTGGCTGGAGTGGTTGCAAAAAGGGCTGCAGGGGATCTTCAGCACTGAGATGCAACAAAGGATAAAAAAGGTGACAAAAAGCATTACATTAAAAAAAGACAGTTTTTTATGGCACACAGTGCAATCCAAATGCCAATCAATTACAGTTTACATCAACTTTAAAAAAGTGTGGGAATTTAAAAAAATAAATACACATGCTCACCTAGATGGCTGCAGCATCGATCCAATGCTGCGGCTGTCCTCTGCCACCTCTATACTGAGAACTGAGTAATCAAAGACCACTGCTCCCTTGGTTCTTGGGTCCACTATGAGCACAGAGCAATGACTGTCATTGAGGGGGCATACGCGGCTGGCTAAGAGGGTAAGTATGGCGATACTTCTTGTTTACAGGGAACTGCTTGGAACAAAAACGTGAGTCCAGCATGATTAATCTATTTTTGCAGCAGCTTGATCTCAGTTTGTTTTCTTTAAATTATGTTCAGAGTTAATTGGCACTCTTGTCCAAGAAGGGAACTGGTAGAAAGCATTTCTATACTCTTATTGTTCATGATTTTGAGACTTGCAGTTGGCTCCTAGTCTCTTTCACTTTCATTCCCTTGGAACTTGCAGTGGGCTTCTAGCCACTTTCACTCTCATGCTCTTGAGACCTTCAGCGGGCTTCTGGCATCTCTTGGATCTGGTTCTCTTGAGACCAGTAGTGAGCTCTTTGCCTCCTTTATGTTAGAGCATTTGAGACCTGAAGTAGGCTCCTGCCTCCTTCACTCTCATTTTCTTGACATCTTCAGTGGACCTCATGCCTTCAATGGGCTCCTGTGGGAATCCTTCATTCTCATGCTTTTGAGAATTACAAGAAACCCTTGCCTCCTTCACACTCTATGCTCTAGAGACCTGCAGTCCCCTTTCACTCTTGAAGGACCTAAGCCCCCTTTACTCTTGTACACTCCTGGCCTTCTTCATGCTTGTTCTCCCGAGACCTCCAGTAGACTCAGGCCTTCTTCACTCACCTATTTCTAAAGCCTTCAGTGTGCTCCTGGCCTTCTTCATTCTCCTTCTGTTGAGACCTGCACTGCACTCCTGGCCTTCTTCCTCAGAGAAGCAAATGGGAATTTCCAGTAATTATGTAATTTTTAAATTTTTTCAGCCTCACCAGTTCTGCTTTGATTTTCAGGAGGGTCCACAAGGAAATTTCAGGCAATCCTCAGAAAGGTCCGCGTAAAAATATTTAAGAAATAGAGTGAACCCTTAATAAACGATAATAAAAATTCCCTACAGAGATAATTTGCTGTAAAATCTAAACCCTTTCTGAAAGTTACAGTTGGTAGGAGACATGTTTTGCTGAAACATTCGCTATTATAGGAAATTACATGCAAAGCCAGAGTTCTGATCCTGAGTTAATTTATAATTGGAAAAAACTTATTAATTAGCTGTGTCACTCTAATTAAGTATTTAAGCTCTATGCATTGTGATGTAAAGTGAAGGAAATATATTGAAGATGACATGAAAGTACAAATGCCTGATTTTTAGGGCATAAAAAATGTATTTTGAATCACACGTTTTAAAAGAAGGTGTAAACCTTATCTTGATGACATTTAATTTCCTAAAGCAGTGTGTGCAGCGCTGTATAATACAATCTATATATATATATTTTTTTTTTTTTTTTCTAAATACGGTTTTACCTTTTTTCATCCCTTTTTTGCATTTCAGCCACGTCTTGCGTACATGTGCTCCCTCCCGTATCAGCTGCACATCAATGCTCTGGACTTGTCTCTGATAATGAGAATAGTTCAATACACCTAAAAAATGTGTGTTAGCATGGCTGCTTGTAAACATCCAAAGGGGTGCTTGTGATGAAGCAGAAAAATATGAGCACAACTGGGAGACAGATGCTATTTTATAATGGGAAGTGCCTGACCAAGGACCTTCATGACAGGACCACCAGATATTATTTTATTGAACAGTTGAGATTTTAAGTGACTGTAAACCCTCACCTTGGAAAACAACCAGGGGCGGACTGACAACTCATGGGGCCCCCGGGCAATAGGGGATCATGGGGCCCCTGTGTCCTTGCCCAAACTCAAAAAAGCCTATGAAAAAGGTACCAGGGGCATCTCATGGTGCCCCCTACTGACCCCGGGCCCTCGGGCAGTGCCTGAGTTTCCAAATGGTCAGTCTGCCCCTGAAAACAACCCATTCAATTTAAAATACAAAAGATAGGCAAAACATTTGTGTATATATGAAAAAAAAAAGATGTACACCTTTCCCCCCTTTTTTTATAAGTGATCACATAGCCTTTGTTCTCAGATATGTAAGAGCAGGCGTAGGAGAAGCAGGCTTTAGTACTTCTTATTGAAAGCCCACTGAAGCCTGCTAGTAGCTTGCTTAAAGTGGCAAGCACTCCCATTAGGATCTGTGTTCAGCATTTTCAAACTGGAGCTGAATGATACTTTAAAAGCTTCAACAAAGCTTGCTGAAAGCTCTGCAAATGCTTTGTCCAAGCATGCTGTTCACACTGCTCTTACACAAGCTGAAGCCCATGTGAAACAAGCAGTTTTTAAATAATCTAAATGTTTTTTATGAGCAGGCCTCCTATCACATAATGACATGATACATATTAAAGTTTAGCAATATTATTACTTTCCAAAGTCTAATATTTAAACTTTGTGCAAACCACAAAGCATTTAAAAGGAACTCAGGAAATATTATTTTTCAATTTACACTATTCTACCATTTAACAAATATGCATAGTATATGGAAGTAAAAATGTTAGTGGATTGCATAAATGTATCAAAATATAATGTAGATTGATATAAATAGTTAGGGTACAAAAGAAACAAGACTATTAACTTTACCCAAATAAAAATAAAAAATGCATTAAAACATACATCCATGGAAAACTAAAACCCACAGTTAATCCAGAAGAAGGCAAACAATTTATAAAGCATGGTCCAATTTTCTCCAACAGGGTAAAAATCCTTCCTGATCCTCTAAGATAATCAGATTTTCCTTAGCTCAACATTCTATGGTGTAATTACCGTAATTATACATATTCATAGTCAACTGATATTTTGCTCGCTTTGAAACATGTCCTACTTAAAAAACAAAACATCTACCAAATCAGCTAGAACTAGTTTCTTTGGGAGTCTATTTCTGATTTTTACAGCTCTTACTGGAAAGAACCCTTCCAGTATGTGATGTTAAACTTTCCAGAGGCATACAGTTCCCCCTTGTCATTTTTAAATTACCTGAAAGTGAACAGTTTGCATCAACTTTACTATATGGACCATTATATATTTATGCAAGGAGATCACATACCCCCCTGAAATCTTTCCTCAAAGCTGAGCTGTCTTCAGAATGCTGTATCCTTTGCATAACTAAATAAATGGAAAATTAAGAGAATACAGTGGAAGGTGACTTTGTAAAGGAAAATTGAAAGTGTTTTGTGTTTACTTATGTATGTGTGAATGTTGATTGGCAATGATTAACCTATCACCACCAGCATAACACTTACAGTTGCAAGAAAAAGTATGTGAACCCTTGGGATTACGTAGAGTTTTGCATGAATTGGGCATAAAATGTGCTCTGAACGTCATCTAAGTCACAACAATAGAAGAACACAGTCAGCTTAACATAATACTACACAAACATTAGATGTTGCCATGGTTTAATTGCACATAACATGTAAACATTCACAGTGCAGGGAGGAAAAAGTATGTGAGGCCCTAGCTTAATGACTTCTCCCAGAGCTAATTGGAGCCAGGAGTGAGCCGACCTTGACTCCAATCAGTGTGATGATATTGGATGTGTTGCTGACAGCTGTCCTGCCCTTAAAAAACACACACCTGTTTTGGGTTTACTGGTTTCAAGAAGCACTGTCTGATGTGAACCATGCCTCGCAGAAAAGAGCTCTCAGAAGACCTACGATCAAGAATTGTTGACTTGCATGAAGCTGGAAAGGGTTACAAAAGTATCTCCAAAAGCCTTGATGTTCATGTGTCCACGGTAAGACAGACTGTCTACAAATGGAGAAAGTTTAGCACTGTTGCTACTCTCCCTAGGCGTGGTCGTCCTGTAAAAATGACTGCAAGAGCACAGCGCAGAATGCTGCATGAGGTAAAGAAGAATCCCAGAGTGTCAGCTACAGACCTACAGAAATCTCTGGCACATGCTAACATTTTTGTTGACACATCTACAATAAGGAAAACATTAAACAAGAATGGAGTACATGGGAGGACACCACGGAGGAAGCCATTGCTGTCCAAAAAGAATATTGCAGCACGTTTGAAGTTTGCAAAAGAGCACTTGGATGTTCCACAGCACTACTGGCAAAATATACTGTGGACAGATGAAACCAAGATTGAGTTGTTTGGGAAGAACACACAACACTATGTGTGGAGAAAAAAAGGCACAGCACACCAACATCAAAACCTCATCCCTACTGTAAAACATGGCGGAGGGAGCATCATGGTTTGGGGCTGCTTTGCTGCCTCAGGGCCTGGACGGATTGTTGTCATTGATGGGAAAATGAATTCCAGAGTTTATCAAGACATTTTGCAGGAAAACGTACGACCATCTGTCCGCCAACTGAAGCTCCACAGAGGATGGGTGATGCAACAGGACAATGACCCAAAGCATACAAGTAATTCAACAAAACAATGGCTGCAACAGCACAGAATACGCCTTCTGGAGTGGCCCAGTCAGAGTCCTGACCTCAACCCGATTGAAATGCTGTGGCATGACCTTAAGAGAGCGATTCACACCAGACATCCCAAGAATATTGCTACACTGAAACAGTTTTGTGAAGAGGAGTGGTCCAAAATGACTCCAGATCGTTGTGCAGGTCTGATCTGCAACTACAGGATACATTTGGTTGAGGTTATTGCTACCAAAGGAGGGTCAACCAGTTATTAAGTCCAAAGGTTCACATACTTTTTCCTCCCTGCACTGTGAATGTTTACATGTTATGTGCAATTAAACCATGGCAACATCTAATGTTTGTGTAGTATTATGTTCAGCAGACTGTGTTCTTCTATTGTTGTGACTTAGATGACGTTCAGAGCACATTTTATGCCCAATTCATGCAAAACTCCACTTAATCCCAAGGGGTTCACATACCCTTTCTTGCAACTGTACGCAGCTGCAAAACTATGGGCTTTGACACTCACATGCTGCTACAGATCTGAAAAGCAGCTAATGTTTACGCACCTGTGCGAATGGCTCCATTGAAAGCAATGCTGCTGCATTCAGATCCATAATTAGCCACTTATGGACTGCCCACCCGCAATGTTTTGTGGATGGGCGGCCCCTACAGGCACAGCATGTACTTGTATGTCGCTGACCTCTTCTAAGTACAGGGTCCACATACGTCCCCACCCACCGACTCCCGCTATGATTGTACACAGCGGGAGTTTGTCAGCAGGTCCCAGCCAATGATTGGAATCATTGACCAGGACCTACTGATATACTGTGTCCTATCACAGCCCAGAGCCCTGTGTTGACAATAAACACAGAGCTCTGTTCAGAGGGAACCATCTCTCTGTTGTCCCTGTTTGCAGGGAGAAGAAACAAGGAGATTTTTTGTAAAAAGTAGTACACATTACACAAATTAACACTTGTTAGGCACACACTTAACCCCTTGATTATCCCAAAATGTTAACCTATTCTCACCCAATGCCATACAGTGACAGTGTATAGTATTATCACTGATCACTGTTTTAGTGTCACTGGTGATGTCAGTGTCAGTTAGTCAGTTCCCATCCAGTGGCACTATCACCATCCCAATATAAGTTGATAATCACTGCCATTAGCAGTCAAAAAAAAATCAGTATATATTCCATAGTTTGTATGGCACTTTAATTTTCATGCAAACCAATTGAAATGCACTTTTTAGGATTTTTTGTCCCAAATACATGTAGGAGAATGCATTTTGGCCTAAATATAGGAAGGGTCCTTTAAATAACTTCCCACTCCACCCGTCACTCACCACATCTCCATATGTGGGGACAGTTGCAGCTTGTGTTCTCGGGACATATGCACTTTTCTCCAGCATCCAACACCTTCAGGGGTTCCTGCCAGCAGGTAAGATTCTTGCAACCTTCCATGTGCTAGGCTCAAGGAGGCCTAGGATTGACTGATCTCTTAGGCTAGCATTCTTACAGGGCAAAAGCCCAGGAGAGAAGAGACAGAACAGGAAGTGCCTCAGATATTTAATAGTTCTCCCAGCATACCTCAGCAGATTTACTGATTGGCTGAGCTATCAAACACTCATAACTCACCCACACCCTACTGGAGCAAGCTCAAGCAACATGTGGCAGAAAAAAGACCATTTGGAGAAACAGTCCTGTTGGAGTACATTTAGGCCACAGCCCACTGCTATAGATTCACGTAAGACTACAAAAAGTGATTTAGTAAAACATTACATCCATTTATCTGAATGAGAGTAAAAGACTGGGGATAACTATGTAATAACAGGTGAAACAAAACCTTGATCAATTAAAAAGAAAATTTGCCTTGTGAAAATTTAAAGCTTATGTAGAGGACATTCCCAATATCAAATTTTAGTAGTACCGTTTAAAAACGATGTTTCTTTCCTGCCATACTTAAGACCTTCCTACATATGCAGACAATACGCAACTAACTAATTAATTGCAGTCTAGTGCTTTAATATGTAATATTTCTTGTCAGCTTTTAAATAATAGACAGAAAAAGGAAATACAATGTCATGTTTCTTCGTAGAAGCCTCCTTTGGTAATTTGCCCAATGTAATTCACAAGCAGGCTACATGGGAAGATGAGCCGTATATTCCACTTCCACAAGCTGCTTCTCTCTTCCTAGACAAGAAAACATAAAAAGTCTATGCAAGGTCATTCAGGTTGAAGGACATCTAGTGCTTGGCCATCTGTGAGACATCTGCACATTCGGAATATTAGAACATTAGCAGGGGTAGACATGGAACTTAATAAATTCTTTTCTGCTTGGGTTGGGTACTGTTTTCTTGACCTCTCGGGGCCAGCACAAAGGGTACAAAGTAGAGATATTTCCACCAGTTGTAGAAGAGATGAAACGTTTGCTTAAAGAGTTACCATACATAAAATAGTTCATAATTTTTTTTCTAAAAAAGGTTTTAATAACATTTATGGATAAATAATCACATTGCCCTCCTCTTCCAGAAGGTCCTGCAGCTCTGTG